ATTAAGTAGTTTAATATGTATAAAAAATAGAATCACATATCACGAATTCGTTATTTACAGACAATAAGGTGGTTAGGTTCATGAGATTGAATAGAGATACTTATCATCTTTTACAATATCAATTTCTTTACCTAGTTAGGATACAAGTTCGAAACCAATGTATAAATTTATCTATTAAATTTTTTAAAATAAATATAACATAAAAAATAATATTATTTAGAGCAAATAATACACTTAATTATTTATACAAATTTGTAAATATACATATCAATTGATGTAATAAATCACTAATTAGAAATTATTATTTCTTCTTGAACTTCTTGAGTAAATTAGTAATCTTAGTTGAACTTTAATGGCTTCATATGGAAATTATCAAGCCCTACTTCTATGAAAGCTTGTTTCTCTTCGTCGCCATAGATAGAAGTTACACCAACAATCACGATACTCACTCCCATTGCTCGTAGATTCATTGTTGCCTATGAAATAATAAGAAATATCAAGTTTGCTGATACTGATGCCACTAAAGAGTTTTTCGCTTGTCTTGACATGCAACTTAACAAAGTGAACCAGTTTCATAAAACCAAGGAGGAGGAGTTTATGGATAGAGGAGAATCTATGAAGAAACATATGGAGATTCTCTTAGAGCTCAAAAATGCTATCAGGCAACAGCATGGTAAAGGAGCTTCTGTGGAGGACTCAAAGGAGGATGCTTCTCTATCATCCACCATTTCTTCTGGTAACTAATCAGCTTTCATCTCATTTAGTGAGGAACACAGAATGATTAAAAGAAATTCTTAATATGATTTGTGTTTTTATTTTTTGCTTATTCCTGATATGGTATATTACATTTTACTCATTAACCTTTTATACACATGCTGACAAATGCATGCAGTCATGAGCATACTACATATATATATATATATATATGTATATATAAGTTATAAAACTTGGAACCTAAATATGCAGAATTTGATACCCTGTACTTAAAAGGAAATATGTTATAGTGGGTGAATTCTGAAGTTGCTTAAAGTGATGAGGTAAAAGTGAATAACAGTTAAAAGTGTGAGACAATGAAGGTAAACATAATATTTTTCAGCCTTAAAGGGCTTATTAGTTTGATTTCCTTTCTGTTTTCCTTGAATATAGAGGAGGAATCTGTGAAAAATAGAACAGAAACACAAGAAGTACAAGAGGAAGATGGTAGCAGTGATTTGGAGAAAAGTGAGGAGCCATTTGTAAATTCCCCAATATCAGATGAGGCAGGAGGAGTATCAATGAAAACAACAAAAGATTATAGAAAACTGAGAACACCATCGGGTCTGTGTTTTCAACAAAACTAAGTTGCAACATGCAGAGAAGATGATTAAGTGAGGGTATATTGAACTCTACAAAGGATTGGATTATCTCAAGACTTGCAGGTATCATTTTAAGCTCATGAATAATCAAAGTTGGATCAAATCTACATATGCCGAGCTTTTTTAAAATATAATTCTGACTCACAGGAACTTGAACATGCTGGCTTTCATTAAGATTTTGAAGAATCTGACAAAGTAAGTGGATTAACTGACAATTATAAATCTTTCCTTTTGGTTCGCAGAGGTAATGCAACTGAGATTTTCTCTTCTTGTTATTTATTTATTTATTTTTATTTCAGGTCATTGGAAAAGAAATTCTTCCCATTTATTTAAAAATAGTTGAGAGTTCTTATTTCAAAAGCTCATACAAGGTGATTGGAGCCAAAGATTTCATAAAATTCTCATTAGAACATCACACGAACATATTGTAATTTCGCATGAACTTATAGTAATTGTTAAAGATATTTTCCACTAACTAGTCTTTTCGTCTGATTAATTTTTCAGTAAGTGTGAAGTGGCCATTGATATCCAAGTAAAGATATCTTTGGTTTTCTTAAAATCAATCATATACATGCTTGTCTGTCACTTTCTTGGCAGCAGAACAATGTTAAACTACTTGCTTACCAGCTTTTGAAAATTACAGGCAATAAATTTAGCAGATGAAGTTGAGAAGCTAATCATCAAACAATTTTGCAGAAGAAAACCGGAGAAAAGCCTATCTCAAACCTCGTCAACGAAAAGAACTGCGTTTTGTAACTTGTTTCATTGGTGAGTTCCTTGCAGTTTTTATTTGAAAAATTAATTAAAGATCAATGGGATTATGTTTTCAAAACAAAGCTTTGAGCTTGCTTTTGGCAGAATGTATATGGACCCATTAGAACCTGCAGGAGATTTATATTTGAGGAAATTCAATCAAATGTATGTTAAACTGGAAAACTCCTTACGGCAATCTGCATCATTTTTCAGGTTATTCTCAATATATGTCGGAAACCACAAATATTATTCATCTGCAATTTTAATCTCGAGTTTAGAGTTATACTAACGAGTTTGTGAAGAAAAAACAGTGTCAAAAATTTGGCCTACACACTCACTTTTGTTTTGGTGCCATAGACTCATCCGAAACACCAATTAATGCTTTAGTAAAACCAATATCTCTTCTCTTTTATAGAAATTTTAAAATAAACTAAATGTGAATCTAAAATATATTCATATGAAGTCGTTGATATTAAATCGGCAAACGAAAACGTACTTGAATCCATAACAGAAGAAATCAGATATCTGTTTAACTTAATTAACAAAAAAAAAATAACTATCTTTTAGAATTCTCAAATTTTCTTTATTTCTGGTGATGAAATAATAGAATAGAAAAAACTTTACATATGATTTGGGGACTATAACGCTTTTTTATATTCTTAAGTTTTTATTATTTCTAATTTGACTTATCACAAAATTAGAAATAACAATTTTGATCTCTATACATAAAAAGCTCATACTTCATTTGATGCATTAAAACTCAATATCCGTTTAATTTTAATATATCATTTTTAACCGGACCCACTTAAATTGATATTTATTTATGCATAATAAAATTACATATAAACTCATACGATTGACCGAAATTCAACATATTCAGCTCAAGTAATATTAATTATTTCTCTCAATTTTTGTGGCTGTGTGATCAGAACTTTTCAAATGTCTTGAACAAGCTTAATCTAATTAATCAAGTGAATTTAATGCTTTGTCAAGAAATATAAAATCACGCTATTACGATTATGTGAATCAATATAACGTGAGTGAATGCAGATTAAAAGGATAATGATAAACATTTAAAATGATTTTTTATGATCATCGAAAATATATAAATTTAAGGGACCGAAAACGATATCATCAAACGTTAGCCACAAATATTTCTCCTAAATGCAATCATAATTTCTTGAAGAAGAACTCTCTCTTGCTTTCTCATCTTTAAAAATAAAAAACATAATTACTCTTACATAAAAATAAAAAATTAATTATTATAATTCTTTAAATAATTTTAATTTTCTAAAATTTGTCCTAATAATTTAAATTATCTTAAACTATTATTTCGATTTAATTATTTTATTTATTCCATTCAGTGTAAATATTAATCTTAAGTTATTATTATTTTAATTTAAATAAATAATAATTATAAAATTAATAACAAAATTGAAAATTAGATTTTTGTTTAAAATTAAAATTATTAGTTAAAAGAATACAAAATTATTCATACACTAATTAAAAATATTCTTCTTCTAAATAATTTAATTTTAAATTAATAAATATTATTCTTTTTAACCAATTTTTATTTGTATTTTTTTGACCGAATAAGCACAAAGCAGAAGCTCCACCAATCACAGTTCATGGTCATGGTATGGCTTTTTCCTTTAGTAAATACAGGTTTATCTTCCAATTATGGAGCTCACAAATTCAGGTTGTTTCTTGGATTTGATCGTCGATTTCTCAATTCTTCATGTGTGATCTTAGAAAGGTGGCGTGCTTCTTGTAGGTGGAAGGAAGGAGGTGTTGAGCGGTATTTCCTTGGCATGAGAGTTTGTGGAATTCTTACCAATTTTTGGTGAGGATCATCGCATCTCTTTCATTTTATGGTAAACCTAGCTCTTCATAATTTGTTCAGCTTTTAGTAAATTTTTTTATTCGAAGAAATCGAGGCTTTCTTCACGCAAATTCACCGTTTCTCAGCTGGTTTATTCTGCAACGAGAGCTTTGTTTTTGTCTCCGTTTTTTTTTTTTTAAAAAAAAAATGGAAATAACTATTGAACGATTCTGTCGGTTGAATTATCACCTGCGAATATTTGGTGGAAAGTATAAAGACGTGTAGTTCTACCTTTTGATAAGAAAACTCCAGTGATCTATTCTTTAGGAAAGTTTGCGCCGGTTGTCTTTTCCTTGCTTTATGCTCGGTTTGCTAACATAAATGTTTTTCTTTTTCTTTTTCTTTCTTTTTTTTTTTTTTTTTGGATCTTCTTTAACTTGTAAGCTGGGCAATCTGTCAACGGCTCCGCAAAAACTTGCTAAGCAATTAGAAGATTTTGGCAGTAATGAAGGTATGTTGATTTTTATTTGTCTTGTGAGAAATAAATAGTTTTTTTTTTTTTTCCTG